GTAGATGTTGTTGAGTGTTTTGTGTTTGCCTGTTTCTTCTTGGTAATAGAGCACATTTGAGGGTGTAAAATTAAGTCCAATTATAGACACCTCCGCTAAACCTCTGATTCTGCTGTCACTGGAACAAGAGCCACATTTTATGAGCTCTATTGTGTCTCACTTCTCAAATTCTGTGAAGTTTCACACTTTCCTGAGTTTATAAGAAACCCACTGTAGCATGTCAACATTTGGCAGGAGACCTGCAAAAAAGCATCTTTCTTACTGTTTTCATTTTAGCTCGAGGCCTTTCTCTTCTTGTATTGCAACATACAAAAAACAATTCTTATATTTGTGGGATAAAAGCAGCATGTTTATTTACATTTTTAATCTTAACAGATTATTGACTTCTATATTAAAATGAAGAAAATATTTGGGTATTAATTTTGTAACACCATTAAGATTTTTTGAGACAGCGCCTGGCTATTACAAAATCACAGGTCCAAAATACCCACCTTTATCTGAGGGATGCCTATAAGTTTTCTCCAGCAGAAATGAAAGGTTTTCCAAGTGCGTTTTCTTTTATCATTCTAATATACACTGCCTGATTCAGACCAAGACATATTTAAAAAGAAATTCTTAGACTGCTTTTGATTTGTTTTCAGAGATACACGTTTTGAATCCTCCCTGAGATTTATCTTCAGCACACAATTTTTTAAAGCCAGTAAAGCAATTTTTTTGCTCTTAGAAATTCACAAATGATTTAAAAAAAATTAAAAGAATGTGTATGTGACATCATACATTGCTAAAATCTTCATTGTGCTGTTGACTGTTGGCCAAGGAGGGACTGAGTTATCCCTGGGCTATCTTTACCTACAGACGATTGAATATAGACATTCCTTTTTCAGAGAGGAAGGAAGGGAGTTCCTCTAATTCTTCTTTGCGATTCTAAGACATGGTTAAAAGATCCAGGGAGGACATGAATAATATGAGTTAATTTACATTTGAGTTGCCAGACTGTTGAATGTGATTCTGCTGAAATTGCCTCTCTTCTGAATTAATTTGCTGATACAGAAACAGAATAAAGAGGGGGAATGAAAAACCCTCCAAAATATGTAAAACCAAACAGAAACATAGCAAAACTTTTGCTAGAGTTCATTGCAAACGGGTATTCGGAATGTAGTAGTTACTATTGCAAGCAGGTGTGCAAGCCCAGAGCACTATCTGTTAGCACCATGTGTGGTGGGAGAGGTCAGGAAAGGGATCAGGGAGGAACTTTCAGCGAATCGTGGTCTGGACCCTTGATCACTTGGAGAGTTTCTCCTACGCCTTGAGTCCCAGTTCCCTCAAGAACAGCACATCTAAACTTGCTGAATTATCATGAGGATAGGAAATCACTCATACAGCTCTTTAGCAGGAATACATTAAGTTCTCAGGAGAGTAAGGACAATAGTCCCTTCCCAGTGCTGGGAGCTTCCTGCCGTTTCCCCTTCCCTCCAGAATCACAATATGTGTAATGAGGTTTCATGGCTGACTCTTCCAAAATGAAAAATCTGAATGTTTGCAAATCTATTACTGGACCTTCTGCATTGGTTTTAGGTGGTTCTTCACTGGCCTGAAGAAGGGCAGATAGTACAATTCTCTTAGGATTTCTCTCTGTTGATCCAGGCCATTTACAAAATGATTCTTATCTTAAAAAAACTTAATGAAAAATTAATATAGTGTTCTGATCTGCCGGTATTAGAATTGGCTTTAGGCATGGTTCTTTTCTGTAGAAAACACAGTTACGATGTAAGAAATCATGTGTTGAATGTGGAAATTTCATAAATATTTTCCCTAAGTAATTTGATATCTCCCTCAGAGGACTAGGTTATAGGCATTTCCTCATGTTATTAAACTGGAAGCAATTAGGATAACAGGACTGGAACTCAGCTGTAGGCCGTTTTACTGAAAATCCTCTTTTCAAATGGGTGTAGCTTAAAATAGTACATGATTTTTCTTTTATCATTTTAACTTGCATTCGATTGAGTGCATTTTAAAGTAGCGAATTTTCATATGATTCTTGGAGAAGAGTGATCTGATAAAAAATGATTTTGAAAAATGGCAACTAAAATGAAACTACTTACAGTTTTCAAGAAGTTTCCATTTTTATGACTTCTGTTTTTTTGAAGTGAATCATACACATAGAAATAATTTGTATGTATTAATAAATCATCAAATGGTAAAAAATTAGATGCTATTATTTAAGGTTAATTTACTACTGTTAAATCATTGTGTTAAAATTTTTAAGATTTAGCATTTATTCATTTATATCAGCTAAGTGTAAGTACCTATTTAAAATTTAGCACTATCTGTTATCTGTCATTAGGTATTCAATTTATTTAATTTTATCAATTTATTTTAAGTCCTACAACTTCATAAAGCCTTGACATACTACGATATTTGTCTTTGTCCAAAATACATTTACTCTCCTAAAATTAATTTTTTATCACTGACTTTTGTTGCAGCTTTATATTTTCATTCTGATAAGTGATACAATGATAGAAATTTTAAGCATTAATCTTGAGAATAAAAGTAATGTAATATTCTAAATTGAATTGTGAAATAGTATTTTCACCTCATATCCCCAAACTGGCACCCCAAATGTCAAACTACATCATCGAATATTTAAAACCTTAGTTTATTATGTATAATTGGTAAATGAAATTGAGTGCCAAGAATGTAATTTTAGTTTCCTGCATTTTAGAAGCCAGAACACCGCTTAGATTTGGGAACAGAACATTTTCTACAATAATGTACAATTATAAGGATATGAAAAAGCAGTTTTTAGACTTTTATATCAAAATTCCTTTCAAAAGATAGTATTGAAGTCCAGCATTTTAATGTTGACTATGTTTGGTATTTTTAGAGCCCAGAATGTCAAAGAAACATACTTTGTAACAGTGTAATACTATAAAATACATTGCGATCAAGCCTTTTAAGTCCAATAATGTAAAAACAAGTAATTTACAATTTGTATCCTTAAGCTCTTAAATGTCTCGCATTTTAATTATATAGTTTACAAAACATTTTTTATAGTTAATCTCATTTGATTCTTACAATACCACAGACTTAGTGGAGTTGGCGTTCTTATGCTACTTTCACTATTAAGAAAACTCAGCAACATAAAAGTATCTTGTTCAGAATTAGCCAAAGAATAACCCATGGAAACAGGACTACATTCTAGTAGTTTTTCTATTGTGAAAACTTGCTTCACTATATAGATCTATGCAATAAGTCACATTTATGTGTGTGTGATATATACATATATATGTGTATGTGCATACGTATTTTATATATATACACCCATGCCCAAGTAAATGACAAAAATAAATATATAATTTTTTTCTGAAATTATAGAACCTCAATATTTTTCCTCTTAGTAGTACATTATTGTGCTAAGTACTTTTCAGTTAATTTGATTACGCTTCTCACTAACTCTATTAGATCAGAGAATAAATTGTCCACATTTATAAGAAGATGAAGTTACTTGACTAATTTTATCCAGTGAAATAATGGTAAAGTCAGAATTAGAATTCATAGCTCAGGGCCTGGCTCCATGGTTAACGCTTATAATCCTAGCACTCTGGGAGGCCAAGACAGGAGGACTGCTTGAGCTCAGGAGTTCTAGACCAGCCGGAGCCAGAACAAGATCCCAAGGGCTGGTGGATTGCTTGAGCTCAGGAGTTTGGGACCAGCCTCAGCAAAGTCTAGTAAAAATAGAAAAACTAGTCAGGTGTCCTGGCAGGAATCTTTTATCTCAGCTACTCGAGGCTGAGGCAGGGAGATTCTTTGAGCCCAGGAGTTTGAGGTTGTTGTGAGCTATGATGCCATGGCATTCTACCCAGGAGTGGGGGAACAGAGTGAGACTCTGTCTCAGTTTAAAAAATAAAAATAAAAATAAAACTGCAGAACTAAAATACATTTGATTTTGCCTGTTTAAGTACTAATTTTTTTTTTTAAAGGTAAAATTGCCCATAAAGACATTGAAATTATCCTAAGTCAAGTAAATCAAAACTTCTAGAGAATGTTTCTGATCACTGGTAATTATATCTCCCCGAGTGATTCTAACATACAGCCCAGGATAAGAACGATAGGACAAGGGCAGAGGTCAGCAAACTCTGCTTGTAAGGGGCAGGTAGGAGATATTTTAGGCTTTGCCAGCCATATATTCTCTATCTCAGTAGCTCAACTCAGCCACTGGATGGGAAAGCAGTCTCAGACACTGTGTGAACAGTGAGTGTGGCTGTGCTAAACACAGCTTTATGGGTGGTATTCGAATTTGAATTTCATATAATGTTAATGAGTCCAAAAGAGTATTCTATCTTTGATTTTTTCTAACAATTAAAAAGTGAAAACCATTTATTGTAGGAAATAATCAAACAGGGTAGGTTTGGCTTTGGAACATGATTTACCAACCTCTGTTCCCTAAAAATTAAACTGGCCCCTCCCTGTGTGTGTTTGACTTTATTTTATAGTATGGAGATCACAGAATGGCCAATAGTCTTGTCCATTCTCCTGTCTCGACTCATAATGCAGCATAGTGCATAGGACTTGGAACTTGAAAGACAAAGAAATATATGAATGTAGTTTATTTTTTCTCCAGATAAATCAACGAGTGAGTGAATAAGTGAATCAATGTTGCCTTAGAAATGATTTTGTGTTTTTTCAATTGATACACATTTATTAGTTGAGAGTGGAGATTAGTACCAAAAAATCAGTGGTTTTACATTTCCACATTTATTTCACTAATATAACCCATATGGTTATGGGCATAGTCACATGAACCAAGTGAAACACTTTATTTATGTAGCATAAATAAATACAAGTTTCTTTTTAAAATTATATAAATGGAAATATCCATTAATCTTTCTTAATGGGGCTTCTTTTTGCTGGCTGTTTTACCTTTTGGCAATTCCAGTTGCTATAACCTGTTTTTTTGTTGTTGCTTTGTTTGTTTTCTTTTTTGTATTTTATGACTTTAGCTAGAGAGATTGCAGGCTGAAAATGCCTTGGAGTGGGACAAGAGGGAAATACTTGAAACAGAAAAGCAAGGTCTGGAGAGAGAAAATAGAAGGCTCAGGACTCAGGTGAAAGAAATGGAAGAGCTCCTGGATGGCAAAAACAGAGTGAGCGCAGACTCTCCAGACTGTGATTTCAAGAGGGCCCAAACTGATCTGCAGGAGCAAGACCAGGTAAGGCTGCTCCCTGGAGCACGTGTCCTCTGAGTGGGGTGCCCCTCCCCACGCCAGGATGCCGCCTCCTCTCTCCACACCTCCAGATGGGAGTGTTCCCTTTTGTGCTGTCTGGTACCTGACAGAGCTTGCCCTTTGTTCCACTGTGATGCCAAATAATGCTGTTGATGAATCTGAAACAAAGCGTGTCCAATTCTGGCTGAAAATCTTACACTGTAACAAACCTTCAGACAGTTTCGATGTTCCCAAAAAGAAGAAGAAAAAAAAAAAAAGGAAGAAAGGGACCTTGTCCCTCTTGGTGCCTGTTATGGCTCTGTCTCAGCGTTTTCCAAGCTATTGATCTTATTTTCAATAATCGTATTTTTCTATTACGATTATTGAGCAGCTGTACAATAAGAATTGGTTTGCAGCGATGGTAAGTATTGATACAAACATTCAAATTCAACTAAGGCACATTGTTTTCTGCTTCTTTTTTATTTAGCCTCAGAATAATTATTTTTGAGTCAATTACATTCACCAGTTTTTTTTTTCCAAATAGATTTTATAGGCAATGGCATTTGTTAAAATTGGGAATAAATTCAAAATCTGATTTGAGGAAATTGATTCAGATGTGTTTTATCCTCAAGTTGGTAGGCGTAGTTAATGCTATAAATGGATTTATTTTTGATAAAGAGCGTACATATTCTTCAATGTGCTTATAACTATTACTTATAGTTGCAATTTGCATGGTTGAATGTCAATATGCTGCATGATACAGACATCATCTGTCTACTTTTTTCCATTAAAGTATATATAGCGTTTTAGCACAAACTGTTTGGTAACAGTTTGATAAAGTAAATTTTATAAGTTCATATTTTTTAGTTACATAAGCCATTTATACTCATATGAGCTCTAGAAGCTAAAGAGTCAGAAAAATTGAATTCCATATCACTTTATTATTTTGTGATTCTAGGGATTTGTTGCCAATGCAAGATTAAATTGTATTAGTGTTTCCCAACTTGCCAGCTCAAATGTCTGAAGTTAAATGTTACAGCCGTTGATCAGAACTGTCTCTCACACAGATTCATAAATCATCTCTAATAGCGTGTTTGATTCAGATAAATACACAACTGATATATCCAAGAGAAGATTTTTTTTGAAATTTCTATATCTAAAAGCACAGAATTACCTCAATTATGGAATATGGTTCAATTATCAAAATACCTCCTTCCATTTGATTCAATAAATAGAAACTGAGTATGTTTTTATATTATTTTCTTTATCAGCCACTGCTGTAGATTCTGGTAACAAGAAGGTTAATGAATCATTATCCCTCCCCAATATCTTTAAAGAAAGATACACATAAATTATTATTAATAAAGCATGCTGATTGCTCTGAATGAGGGGGAGTGGGAACACAAATGAAGAAATAATTCATTTTGTTTAATTTTGACACCTTTCTAGCTATCATAATATGAGGTATGTCTGGAAAAATGAGGATTGATTTGGGCCTGCTTGGAGCTGACACACGTACTGATTGGTATGATCTGTCACCAGGGAGCACTGAGAGGGACCTGGGCTCTTTGAGACCTGCAGAGTTCTTTGACCTAGGACTGGGGAGAGAACTCGGGAACCGGGAGGATTCTGGAAGGTCTGATCAAATAGGCGTGTGTGCTTATCGAGTAGAAGACTGAGGTTCTTTAAGTATAAATCATTCTGATGGTGGGAGTAGTGTTGCTGACTTTACCATCTTCCTTAGTTCAGACTCACTGCTGAAAGTGGGATAATTGCTTATTATGGAACAACTTCAGGTCAAAATCCTTGGTGCAACCGACATCCTTGCAGAATCTCAAAATGTCAAGATTCGATGTCCTCAAATGGCAAGTGAATCATAGCTGTGTATAGAACATTTCAAAGTCCAGAGAATAATGTAGATTTTATCATAATAACAATACCACATGGTAGCTTTAAGATCACTTCAGTGAGGACTAATGCATATGCATGTAAGTATCATATACAAGCACCTTGTCTGTATATGTGTGAGTATGTATGAATTAGTATGAACATATCCATATGAACACTACGTATTCATGTCTGTAGGGCATATATGATGACCACATATGTGTGTGTACATAGGTACAACACATGGGTACCATGTACATATATATGTATGTAGGCCCCATATATGAGTATCCCATATATATAGGGGTCATATATGAGTAGCATATGCATAAATATTGTTGAGGTACCATATATGACTACCAAATAAATGTATATAGGTAGCACCTGAGTACCACATACACCACACATGTAGATAAGTACTCTGAGTACCATGTCTATATGTGTATAAATGTTCCATATATGAATGAGGCAGTGCAAGTGGGTGGTGAGGGACACTACTGGCAACACACCACTAGGAGAGTCTTTAACAGAGATGTGAGATCTCTTACCATGTGACATTCACATGGAATCACATCTACCCTATGTTTATGGAAGACACAAAGCTACCTGATACTCTTATAAATCCCCACAATAGATTTTTAAAAGTATCTTCAGTTTTAATAATCTTACTGTTCAATGAAATTTGTATAAATGTATTAATTCAAGAAGGAAGGATTTTCGCATGGCTTTTCCTTTGCTTTTTTTGACTTTTAGTGTTCTAGGGAATACATTTTTAAAGAAAATGGCTTTCAATTTTAAATTGTGTGTTATTAAACCAACAACACAGACTGTTCCTCACACGAGTTATCATATGACGTGATTCTCCATCCAGTCTTGCTTCATCCAGTGTGTTAAGGACACAGGCACATCAATCTTTTACAGCTTGAAAACAGTATAGCAGCTCACTTGAATTTTCATGCACAGATTGGAAGATTATCACTGTGTAGTAATTATTTTTAGAGCATAAACTGGCTGAATAGACTTTTCTAGAAGAACCTCTGCATGCAGGTCTTTGGATTTGTTGTTGCTTCTGGAAATAACAACAGCATTCCATGGTTCCGTGGCATCAGCGCAGCTGACAGATATCAGACAGGAGAACTTGTGCAGTGGCAGTATTTGAGTGCTCCTTTTGGAATGAAGCCTGCATTTTAAATGATGGCAAAGACATTTGAAAACCAGCTTTGTGAAAACATGAGGAGAATCAAAGTGTATGTTTTAAGGAGGAGAAGTGAAACCGCATTTGAAACTCCGATTCCACAGCCAACAGTCAGTTACATTTGTCATGCTCCATCATTAGAATTCATGTTTTTATCCGTCCTTTAAAAAAAATCCACCTGTCCTTATGACTATGTAGATAAGCACATATTGGAATAATTTATATGATTTAATAGATTAAAAAACATATTTATACACTCAGGAAATTTGGATTCAAAAATTTGAACTATTTGTTATGAAATATTTTTAGTTTTCTAAAGGTGGCTAAAAAATTGAAGTGTATTAAGTATTAGTTATCAAAAGTGGGGTGTACATGTCACCAAGTTTTGGAAAGAAACTACCAACACATTTTTATTTGTTGCTGTTAGAATATCCATATTATGTTTATAATACATATTAGTACAATAGTATATCTACATGACATAATTTAGTTATTTTTAAATGTAATTTAAAATTTGGTAAAGGCCAGGTACAGTGGCTCATGTCTGTAATCCTTAACACTCTGGGACACTGAGGTCAGTGGGTTGAGCTCATGAATTGGAGACTAGCCTGAGTAAGAATGAACTCCTGTCTCTGCTAAAAATAGAAAAACTATCCAGGCATCATGTTGGGCACCTGTAGTCCTAGCTACAAGGGAGTCTGAGGCAGAAGATTCGCTTGAACCCAAGAGTTTGAGGTTGCTGTGACCTGTGATGTCATGGCTCTCTACCCAGGGTGATTCTGTCTCAACAACAACAAAAATTGTTAAACTCATAATTTTATGCAAACATAAAAAGAACACATGTCAACTATTTTATTTAACCCATTAATTAATGATGAAAACTGGTAAGATATTATGGCTAGTGGAATGGAGAATCTAAACATCAGAACCATTCACCAAGGAATGTTGAAATAAACATTAGTAGATTCAAAATAGGAAATAAATTGCACTGTTACCAGATGACATTCTCCCGAATGTGTGTGGAAAAGAATCATTTATATTGCTATGGGTTATCTACAAATTATACAGTTATGTGTAAAATAGTGTAAAGATGTTTCAAGTTGCAAGATCCTACAGAATCAGATTGTCTTACCTGGGTTAATGTGTTAGACACAACTACAGGACTATTTACTGGCCATTTCAAAGTCTTTCCCCATTTTCCTTGACAATGTAAATTATTTGCTGTTTGTGTTGAATAACTCTTTACATATGGGTACATCAAACAAACACACAGAGTGTCTTTCTAGACTAGGGACAGTCAAACTCTCTGAAAAGGTCAAGATTACAGAATATATTCATATTCAGCTATTTTAAAACACATTCTCTGTTTCACATTTAAGACTTTTAGAAGCCTTCAAAAGAATAGAAAATATTTCCAGTTCTTGGCCGTGGTGCGCAAACAGGTGAGCTGGATGGACCCATGAGTCATATCTTGTGGTTGGTCTCTTGGCTGAAATGTACAGAGGGGGCCAAGCAGAAAAACGTGACAGAGCAATACCCGGAAGGCATTCATCTCGCTCTGGCCACGCAGAACCTTCTAGATGGATCTTCTGGGTTTAGAGCATGGTCTAGATCTGAGTTCTTCAACCTTTTATAAAAAATTTACTTGAACCCATAGTTAAACTTCTGAAGTCCACTTAAATTATATTGATCAAAAAAAAAAAAAAAAGTAAAAAACCAAAAGAACATTCTCATTGCACTTTGAACCTCTTTTGAAAGTAATTTGATAATGACCTTTAAAATTTTCCGTGGCACACCTATGATCTTCTCATGGCACACCCCCGTGTGCCACAGCACATTGATTGGAAATCACTGGTCTGGATCATCTCCACTAACCAACGCCCTGGGTATAAAACCGTCAGCAAAGCTTAGACTGTTCCTCAGC